CGCTGGCGGCGGCCGCGGCCACCGCGGCGCTGGAGTCCGAGTAGGAGGGCAGCACCGGCTTGAAGCCGTCCTGGGCCAGCAGGTGCTGGCTGGTGGAGAGCAGGTGCGAGGCGGCGGCGGCCGAGGAGCCGAGGCCGGTGGAGCTGAAGGCCGAGTGCGTGAGCGAGCTGAAGTCGGGGTTGTAGGTGCCCAGCTGCGAGTGCAGCGAGGCCTGGGGGGCGCCCGAGTGCAGCGAGCTCTGCAGCCCCCCGGCGGGGTTCTGCACCTCCAGCCAGGAGCCGGGGCTGCTGTGCACGTCCCACCACGACGACGCCGCGCCGTTGGTCACCTCGCCCGCCGCCAGCGTCGAGTGGAAGCCCGACTTGTACCACGACTCGTACGGGTGCGCCATGCCCACGCGCGGATACAGGCCGTCGGCGGCCGTCGTGTGCACCTTGGAGATGAAGGCCGACTGGCCGCCCGCCTCCTGCGGGGACACGCCGGCCGCCGCGGCCGCCGCCGCCGCCGAGTTAGAGAAGAGGCCGCCGTAGTCGCTGCTGAAGGCGGACGACGTGGGGGACGTGGAGGCCAGGCAGAAGGCGCTGTTGGCGGCTCCCGAGCCACCCGCCAGGCCGCTCGAGCCGCGGCCGCCCGTGGCCACAGCGAAGCCGGAGAGGCTGGAGCCGAGGTTGCAGCTGGACGACGAGCGCTTCCAAGGGTGGAAGCCGCCTTTGGCGAAGGCGCTGGACTCGGGCAGCGTCGTCAGCGGGCTCGTGTTGCCGATCTTGTTGCAGGTCGCCGCCAGCATGGCCAACGGGGTCGTTCCGAAGCGTGGCTCTTCCTGGAGTGGGTGGGGTGAGGGAGGGAGCAAGGAGGAGGAGGAGGAGGAGGAGGAGGAGGAGGGCAGGAGGAAGTGGAGGAAGACACAAAGTGCACCCGTGAGCAGCCTCGTTCCCCCGCGCCGGTCCCGGAGGGCCCTGGCACCCCGGCTCGCGCCTCCTCCCCACGGGCTGGCCGAGGACGTGCCGCGCCCCGCGCAAGGCAGAGGCGATCACAAGCGTGGAGGTCCTGGCGCTGGGAAGTTGTTCTTCCGTGAGACTACAGAGCAGAGATGCCTCGGTTTTCTTCACCTCGTTCACTGCCACCCTTGTCTAGAATCAGACTTGGGTTGACGCCATAAACCCGCTCTTCTCCCAGGAGCCCCCAAGTCGCCCTTCCGGGTGTAGCGCGAAGATAAACACAGACAACAAACACGAGTGAGGGCAGGGGGATGGCCGAAACAGCGGCCCTGGCCTGGGAGAAACTTGGAACACTCCTCGCTTAAGTGCCTACGACTTAGCTATTTTCTTTTATAGTTCAAAAACGTGGTTTTAATATTTACACACACACACACACACACACACACACACACACACACACACACGCAGTTACAAAAATAATCCGAGTATAAACGGTCCGGGGACGGCTTTCAAAGTCAAGGGCGAACTGGGGAGCCACGCAAATGTAAATGTTTATTAATGTAACTGCATGGCCTGCAAAACAAGACTTTTCTGAAAACACTGCCCTGGATTAATGCAACAATTCCCAAAGCAAGGGGGTGGGGTAAAACCAAAGAGAGGAAAAGAAACCTTCAGCTTTGCTTTAAAACCAATTAAAAGGGAATTTGCTTAAATTCTTTACTTGCAAAGGCAATGCCCCAGGTTTCAATAACTTGAAAAGATCCGTTCCGGAAATGTGGAAAATGCTAGAAAGGAACCTGAGGCTGCGGTCCAGCAACAGTTTCATGTGAGCCGCGGACCCAGAGAAGCCATAAAGAAAAAAATAACTCCAGTCATAAAACGAGCAACTGCGTTGCAGCGCTTTTTCACTTACCCCGAGTATAGACGTGGCCATAGCAGGTCTCTTGGCTGCGCGGCGAGGCCGGGAGCGGTGTTAAGCCCTGCGGCTGCTGGGAAACGCAACTCGGGTCCCGCGCGGCTCCCGCGTCCCGCGCTCGCGCCGAGCGGACTCTGGGCTCCCGCCGGCAAAACTCAGCCTAAGTGCGAGGAGCACCCGCTTTGAAGTGCCGCTGGCTGCGCCTCTCGCCCAATGAGGGCGCAGGCAGAGCAGACGGGAGCTGCCCTGCAGCCAATCAGACGCGCCGAGGGGCCCGAGCCCGGGCTCCTGGCGCGTGCCAGTCAAGTCTGCGGGCGTGGGTGGGAGGGGGGGGGGCGGGCTGGGGACAGAAGAAATTACAGTGCAATTAAAAATTTACACACACGTACCAAGCCAGGTTTAAGTACCGTTGAGACCGATCCGCAAGACCCCCACACACAACCCGGGTCACCTCGAGATGTTTGCCAGTTAAGGGCTGACAGTCTTCACTCCCCACTTGTGGGAAAGAGGCAGGAGAGGTGGGGACACCCGGGCCTAGGGCACAAGTGGAAATAATTTGCCTTCACTTTATGTGTACGGGTTCTTGCTGTGAAGAACTTCAGCTTGTAACCATCACTCTGTCGATTTCATCTTTGTCGTGGTCGGTTTTTTGTTTTTGTTTTTTTAACCAGTTTCTTATTCCCACTGTATTCGGTTGTATGCTCAGAGTCCTATTGAGCAAAGGGCGCAGAGGACAGCTGGGCCTCTCCAGGCAGGTCTACACCCACAGACTTATTGGGAGAGCCCAGAGCCTGCTGCATCTCGCCATTTCCCCCCAGCGGTCTAAGTGACTTCCTAATTGTCGCTCTGGCCTCTGACCCAGGGGGTAATACAAGTGCCACTCACTCCAGAAGCTTCTGGTGGTAATTGAGGGCACCCTTTGTACGGCTTCGCCAGCGCCTAGATACCAGGTTAACCCAGTTGTCAAATATGACTAAACAGTGGGATGTGCTGATTATCTGCCAGGTTTTGCTGGGGGCTGGCGTGGGGGTGGGAAGCATCAGCCCATACAACACGCGGCACGAAGCCGCTTATTTTCACATTGTAACAACTTTGGAAACGGAGACCAGCGCTAGAGGCATCCGCCCCCACCGCCACCCCCGCTGAAGCTGCAGCTTGCTGGCACCGCTGTTTGTTTAACCCGGTGGAGATTTGCATGTCGGAATTCAGCCTGAAGTCGGAGTTTTAAGGGATGTTTCTAAGAGTCATTTTTTTCTTGCTTCAGCTCCAACCTGTCTCCAGTGCAGACTGCCAGGGCCTAGAAACTCGGTCTGCAGGGGTAAGGGTGTCCAAAGGTAGGCTCATCCGCAGCAGGCACCCTGCTGTGACAGATCTACCAAGGACTTCTCCGGAACCTTCGCCGAAGAGTCTGCGAGAGCCAGGCCACACGTGGGCGCCTCCGCGTTCTGCAAGCGGGAAGCATCCTCAACCCTCTCTGGACCTTGGTGTGAAAGAGGTGTCTTCACACATCGCGGGGCGCCGCCGCTGGAGTGTTTCCTGTCCTCCTGGTCTCTACTTTCTCTTTTCCAGGATAGCCTGAGGCTGCTTTTGAACTAGAAATACCAGCGCCCTCAGGCAGGTCTGGGTACTGTAAAACACGTAGCACATTTCCCCCTCCAAACCTACATCCTGCTCTCTAAAAAAATAAGAACCACCATTCCCAAATGCTCGAGTGCAAAGACAATTTGTGGAGGAAGAACCCCTGAAGAGGTCGCGGAGGTGTTCTGCCAGCTGTTTCTCTGTTCTTTCGCAAGATCTCTAGGCCCAAAAGTAAGTCTACAGCAGCACTTCTCTCCCACCTTAAGGTGGAAGACTAGGCCTGCGTGCATCCGCTCTCTTCGTAGATGGGGAGAGCTATATGGATCGCGTTCATTGCTTTTCACTAGAATATTTTTGCTCAGAATGCCTTAAAAAAAAAAAAAGACACCTTTAAGGTAGCAAAAAAAGCACGGAGGAAGATAATTGCGGAAAAAGAAGAAAGATAGAAATGGCCTGAGCAGCTACGAAGGAAGCGCTGTGCCCTAGGGGACCGAGAGAGAAATCTGAGGGGAGGGGAGGGTAAAGAAAGGCCCTAGGGCTACCGGGTGGAAGGTTGGGGGGGGGGTACCAGGCCGCAGGACCCAGCTGAAAAGCCCAGCAGGGGGACCCAGGAGCCTTTCCCAACAGGTGACTTCTGCCCTGGAAGGGGAGGCTGGCCCTCGGCTTCCCGTAGCGTCCCCGCGTCGATTTACTAATAGAGGGATTGTTAAGTGGCAGCCAGGCGTTTCCGATTCACCCTGTGCAGCCCCGGGAGGAGAAGTGACGAGGGTTCCCCACGACTTCTCCTCCCCAACCCACCCTCTTAAGGAAACCTGACCAAGTAATAAATAAGACAATCGGCGAAGCCACTTGGCACTGGTGACATTTTCAAGCCAACCATTGATGCAGTTCTCACGGGCACCTCGGGCTCGCGGATCCCGGCTCCTCTCCTTCTCCTCCTCCGGCAGTCCCCTCCCCCTCCCTCTGTTCTCCAGGCAGTTCCAGCTGCCAGACTCTAGACGTGGGCACTCTCGTATTCCTAGACACACGCGTCCCCATCACAATAAAAGTTAGGGAAATCTTCCAAACAAGACAGACAAACAATCGGAGCCAGTTCAACTCTAAGGTGGGGCTCAAAGGAAATCTTGCGGGAAAAGTCCAGTTTTTTTTTTTTCCTTCTCCCGTTTGACAGATTTTTTTTTTCATCTTCTAAAAAATCTAGTTTTTAAACAAAGATCAATGTGTTATGCTAAAGTGTTGAGCTGACTGTTAAAACATTTGGGGAAATAATGACAATGTAACAAAGGCCTGGTTTGGAGTGAATCATCACCCTTTTAAAAGTTAAAGCAATTTTCAGGAGAATAGCTTTCAGCAAACGCTTTACATTATTCAAAACGGCCAAATAATGCTCTATTATAGCGCCTGAATGCTGCCAGTCAGCCCCTAAGTGCAATTTGTGCGAAGGCCCCGGTGCCTTATCTCCACTTCTTTATAAAGAGGTGAATATAAAACAATTTCTTCCAAACCCAGACAGAGAGCACGAAAATTGCTTCCCTTTCTGCAATCAGGGCAATTTAACTGGAGTGCAATTAGCACTATTAAATGTCGATTCTGCATAAACAAATCTGACTGAGCAGAGAAAGTGGGGTGAGAACCTCATATACACTGAAACTGATTTTTTAAAATTATGTATCCGGGTCCTTTACAATTGATCCGTGACGTTTTCATCTTGGCATATATTTACATCGTAAATACACTATGGTTAAATCAACATGATTTTTTTTTTTTTGCAAAAAAAAAAAATTCAATACGAAACCTAATAAAGAATGCAGCAATTAAAGGGAAGAGTTCACTTCCCTTGAACAAATGTTGCGTCTCCCATTTTGGCTCTCGGAAGGGCTTTGATCTGAGCAACTGCTCAAGTTTGTGGTGTTGAAGAGGCAAAGCTAGAGAAACAATTTCGTCTTGAGCGCTCATGCCGGCTCCATGCGCCTATGCCGTAGATGAAATGCTTTCTCTCTGAGACACGAAGGAGGGTGGCGATCCCTAAGACCAGCTATTTTCTGAACTCCTCTAGACTGTAGGTAGCTGAGTAAACATTAGGTAGTGGCCCAGGCTCCTCGCTGGTTAGCAGCTGATGTACATCACTGAGGTGGGGTAAGGTGTAGTAGGAGACGCAGGATGTAGGCAGGAAGGGAGGCGTTGGGAGGGGAGGAACCGAAGGGTTCTCAAATTGGTGGGGCTGGCTTCAGTGGAAGCCTGGGCCACTAGAACCAGGATGCGGGGCGGGGGCGGGGGTGGGGGTAAGAGGGAGGGTGCCCATAAAAGCATTTGTCTGACCTGTCCTCCCACCTGCCTTTATTTATTTATTTGCTAAGCCACAGAGGCACCCGTTTTGAATCATTTGTGCAATTAATTATGCTTTTCATTTGCATGATCTACACCAGAGCAGTGATTATCAGGTCAGCACCGTGTGGGAGTTGGGGAGAAACATAATAACTTCAGTTTAAAAAAAAAAAAAGCCGCATTTGTACCGGTTGTTGCCTGCCTTGAGCAAGTGGGGGAAGGAAGCCCAGTGCGGCCTTTAACGCCTGTTGAGTCCTGTGAATCCTTCCCACAGTTGGAGTTTGTCAATGTGAGTGAAAATGAAATACAGCCTTTGATTAGACGGGAATCTTTTATAGTTAACATATATTTATGTCTTTAAAAGCACCAGTCGAGTTCAAATGGATCAAGAAAATTAATTGAAAATTGGGGAACTCTCCCACATTTTCTGTGGAGCTTTTATTTAATACTCATTTTATAACGCCCTTCCTTATTTTAGCCCAACCCTTACAAATAAAAAAGCCAAAGAAGAATCAATAGGCCAATGAGACTTTCTTTCTTTTTTTTTTTTTTTTTCTTTCTCTGCTTCAAAGGTGTCTCTCCTATTTAGAGGTGCTAGGAGGTGCAAAGCATTCTAGCCTCTGGAGGGTTTCCAGGAGAAACTAAGTCCCTGGACTGTTGAGAACACAACATGCCTTTTGCTGCACAGCCAATTGTCTGCTGCTAGATGTGACTGGACCTTATATTCGAAGCTTGCCTTGATCTGTTTATCTGAGCCAAAAATGCATTAACAATTAAAGGAGAGGCTGGTATGTCAAAGGAAGGAAGGTGACTGGAGATTGTGATGATTTTAATGACTGCAATTATTGGAAGATTATTCAACAAGCATCATAGGTTTGTTTACTGCATCACTAGGAAACTATGGGGGGCCTGCTTGGCTTGAGGCTGTACTTTCCTCCCTCCCTCCCAACCACTATGAAGGAGTCTCAGACCCAAGCAAAGTGACAGGAGAGTCAGTTTTCTTCGTTTTAGGGGGAGTCCTACCCAAAGGATACACATGCTGCGGTGCCTCAAACAAGGCTAACAGAACTCTCCTCGGAACCACTGTAAGATCTCCTCGTTTTCATCTGAACCTGATGTTCACAAAGAAGCCCAGAGGCCAGAAGACTCTGGTCAGGAGTTCTCTGCTGGCCAGCATGCTAGCTTCCTCCGTTTAAGCACTTCTTGGGCAGCCTGAGAGAAGGCTCTTCCCTCCTTCATCTAGAGCTCCGAGAAGGAAGACACCCCACCTGTAAGAGGCATACCTCCAGCGCTCACCTGGGGAAGTCCCCCCTTCCTTCCTTCCACAGTCCCCTTCAAATCATTCCTTGGCATTACTGTTCAGAATAAGTAAAGGAAAAGGTATGACCAAGAGCATTATCGGGGCCGGGCGGTGGTGGCGCACGCCTTTAATCCCAGCACTCGGGAGGCAGAGGCAGGCGGATCTCTGTGAGTTCGAGGCCAGCCTGGACTA